TGTAATAGAAATGTAACAAAAATTATGTAATAAAGATGTAATAAAAAATTTGTAATAAATAAAATAAACTTTTATTGGTAATTTTTGATGATATTTAAATTTTATTATAAATACATTTTGGAGAATTATAATTACAAATATTAACCAAAGCCCCCGCCCATTTTATTCTTTACTATCAATATTAATGTCATTTTTAGCCAATACACTTCTAATCTCTTGAAGAATATTTATTAAGTCGTTACGGGATTTATTTGATAAACTTCAGAAATGCGAACGATCAGAATTACCTAAAGAAGGAATTAAAGAGTTAATAATAGATAAGATTTCTGATTTTTTAAAGAGCTTTCATTCTTTTGATGATCTGCCTCTTCACATGTTATTGGTATTGGATGCCAAATATCTAATGCCGTTTTGTTAATTAGTTTAGCTTTTATAAATTCAATTCTTTTCATATGTGCAATTTCACTAAATCGTTTCATCTCTTCACTTATTTTTCACTCTTCACTTATATTTTGAAAATTATGATTATTAGATTTCAGATTTACGAATTGGGTTTTTCTTATTTGAGCTCGATAGCAACTTGATTCAGTAGTAAAACTAGGATGTGTTCGAGGTTCTTGGGTATCACTTTCAGAATATCCTATTAGATTAAAAAGATTAGTACACAATTTCAAAAACTTAGTACAATTACATGCTGCAATTTCCCAATATTGTTGTAAAGATATCGGGGGAATTAATGATCTGAGCGCTCTATTAATTTCTTCAAGTATTGCATCGTGGTCTTGATGTTGATTTGGAAGTTTCGATCGTGAGGTTACGATTCTTTCTTGGATTAAATTGAAAACTTCAGGCTTTAATCATAATATTTGCTCTTCATCATAAATCTCGATTAATTGATAAATTGGATGCCATCAAGCAAACCAAATAGGCGCAAACATTCTTCTAGCCACAAGTCTTAGTAAAGACCTATTAAAACAAGCTCCAGTACGAAAGTTAATAATTGCTTGCAAATAAAGAAAAATTTGTTCATACTTTAACTTATATATGGGATCAGTTTGTTCTTGGGCCCATTTTAAATAACCTTCGACAGAAGGATCCTTTTCATGAAGGATGTATGGTCACATCAATTCGAATGCTATTGCATGCCTATATTAGAATTAATACCTCAATCCAGATATATTTTTTATATCCAGATTAATCTGGGTTTATCATAGTATAAATCTGGATTTAAACTCAAATCCGGATATATTTATATCTGGATTTAAAAACATTATGTCATGTTATATCATATGACATAGTATATATCCGGATATATAAATCCAGATAGAGGTATTAACTCTAGCCTATATATGTTGCATACTGAATCCTATGACTTATGATGATCTGAACTTTTTTTGAAGAACTGAAATTGATTTTCAGTTTGATACCCTTGACAATGAGCAAAATCTCTTATGTCAATATCCCAATTTAACTCGACAAATGCTTTTAGCATATTCATTTCTTCGTAAAGGGCACCTAGAATTAATATAAGCCAAGAAAAATTCTTTTTCATTTTTAGTATATAATAATATGGTACTCTATCACATGTAACTACAATCTATTTATTCTTATTGTCTTTAACTCTGGATATTTCTTCAATGTGCTCAAGAACTTTCTAAACATTAGCAATCGAATTGAAATTAATTCCTATTGGATCAGAAACAATTACTTGTGGCTTGTAAACTTCTGGGAACAATCTTTATGCATCTGATTCTTTAAATCTATAAGGACAGATAACTAGAGACTTGTCAGTAATATTTTTGATAGTAGATAGTTCATTAGATTGTTGATTCATCTCACTAATC